CCGGCGGCGGGAAATTTAAAAAATTTAAAAAATGTCATTTTTTTTTTTTTTTCAATTTTCAATAGTAAAACATTGCTGTTTCATCCCATTTCACATACATATTGTCCCTAGTGCTTTGTCCTGTGCCCTGCCTGCATTTTGTCTGTTCTTTCTGCCTGGAAACTTAGAAAAGTCCATGGCGTCCAAAAAGCGTCCCTTTAGGTCAAAAGCGGTTTTAGACCGGCTAGAGAACAGCGATAGTAAATCAGAACCACTTGCAGAATTGAGTGATAATGATTTGTGGGGAAATCTTCCTAAAAATTACAGCCTACAATAAAAAACTATTTCCAATGCGAAAAAATGGTACCGCTTTCAGCAAAAAAAATCAGAAGGAATCATACCACCAGGGAGGTTAAAGCACACACTTCAAGCAAAAATCCATCTGGAAATTCTATTTGGCAGCTTCTCCAATGGAGAATGCCTACCCTAGTTGAATTATTCCATGAAAAAGCAGTATTTGAAGCTGACATTCAGATGTGATCAATGGAGAGGATTTGATAGCCTATCCAGATTCAGCTAGCCATACATGGGCAGAGTTTCTGCAACCACTAGAGCAAATTGCTGATGGAAAGACCGCTTTCTGCTTGATTGATAGACTTTAAAGCCCACCCATCAAGCAAAAATCCATCTGGAAATTCCAGTTGGCAACCAGGAATATTTCCTTTCCAATAAAAGACACTTTTCCTCTGTGAATTATTCCATAAAAAAAGCAATATTTGAAGCTAAAATGTAGGTGTGATCATTGGATTAGGATTTGTCAATTTACCCACATTTAGCTATCCACACATGGGCAGAGTTTCTGCAACCACTAGTGAAATGAAGATGTAAATATTGGTTTCTGTTTTATTGGTAGGCTTTAAAGTCCACAAATCAAGCAGAATTCCTTCTGGAAATTCCAGTTGGCAACTGGAAATATATTTTTCCAACACTTTTCCTTAGCAAAGTATTTAATGCAAAAGTAATATTTAAAGCTAAATGTAGGTATGAATATTGGATTAGAATTTTTTAGCCTACCCAGATTTGGCTGGCCATACGTGGGCATTCCATTTGACCAGTGGGGAATATTTTTTTTCAATGGAAAAAATGCCTCTCCTATGTGAATTATTCTATGAAATATAAATATTTGAAGCTGAAACCCAGATGTGATCATTGGAGATTTTTTGGTAGCCTACCCAGATTTAGCTGGCCACACATGTGCAGAGTTTCTGTGACCACCAGCTAATCGATGATGGAAAGAACTATTTCTGCTTGATTGGTAGGCTTTAAAGCACACCCATCAACCAGAATTCCATATTGAAATTCCAGTTGGCAACTGGAAATATATTTTTCCAATGGACAAGCTTTTCCTAGCTGAATTATTCCACATAAATGCAAACTTAAAACTAAAATGTAGGCATTAGCATTGGATTAGGATTTGGTAGCCTACTCTGCAATTAGTAGCAAATCGATGATGGAAAGACCAATTTTTGCTGATGTCAAGTATTTAAAGCATGCATTAGCAAGCAATGGTTTGTTTGGAAATTCCATTTGGAAGCTGGAAATATTTATTTCCCAATGGAGAACATATTTTTTAGGTGAATTATGCCATGAAAAAGCAATATTTAAAGCAAATGTAGGTATGATCATTGGATTTGGATTTGGTAGTTTACCCAGTCGTGAGCTGGGAATATTTATTCTAATGGACAGCACCTTTGCTAGGTGAATTATTCCATGCAAAAGTGTTATTAAAAGCTGAAATCCAGGTGTGATCATTGAATAGGATTTGGTAGCCTAGCCACATTCATCTAGCCATGCATGGGAAATGTTTATGTGACCACCAGCAAGTTAGTGATGGAAATACCAACTTCTGCTTGATGTGTAGTGTCAGAGCCTGGGATCGAACCTGGGCCTTCTGCAGTGAGAGGCAATGTTTCTTCTCACTGAGCTACCTGGGATGCTGGACAATGCTCTGCCTTGTGGACAATCCTGCCTTGTGCCTTGTTGAACCTTGAACTCCTTGCTCCTCCCATGAACTTCCTGATAAAAGCTATGTCCATGCACTTCCTCCTTGCCAGATTATTGTGCCTTCCCAGCCAGTATCCCACTTATCGGTCCTGCTGCCGGCTACATCTTCGCTACCGACCTTTGGCTTGCCACTGACTACGATTCTGCCTCATCCTCATCTGCTACCATTTGTGACCTACCCTTGGCTTGTGACTGACTCCGCTTCTGTTTCATCCCTAACCTGTTTGATCTGCTATTGGTTTCCAGCTTGCTCATTTCCTGGTGGGGTGATCCTGAGATCTGCGACCTGGTATTAACACGCAGCCAAATCTATCTCCACCACTAGGAGCTCTGGTGAAGACCGGGTTAATACCCAGACCCCGCACCTCAGGTGAGCCTGCGCTTTTTCTCAGGGTGACCAGCTGGTGTACCGATCCTGCTGGTTTCAGGTAAGCCTTTTACTGCTATAGCAACTGGTCTCTAAACCTGACCCAGACCGTGACATGTAGACTTTAAAACACACACATCAAACAGAAATAAGTCTGAAAAATTAGTTGGTAGCTGAGAAATATAATTGTTCAATGTACAATACCTTTCCTAGGTGAAGTATTACATGCTAAAATGATATCTGACGCCAACAAAGAGGTGTTATCATTGGTTTCGGATAAAGATTTAGTGTTTCTGCTACCATCAGAAAACCAATGATAGGAGAATCCATTTCTGCCTGACTTGTTGGCTTTAAAGCCTACACATCAAGCAGAAATTGGTCTGGAAATTCAAGCTGGCAAGTGGGAATATTTTTTTCCAATGAACAACTCCTTTGAATTATTTCATGCAAAAGCCATATTTAAAGCTCAAAGCCAAGAGTGATTATTGGATTAGGATTAGGTAGCCTACCCAGATTTGACTAACCATACATAGGCAGAGTTTCTGAAACCACCAGCAATGAGCAAATTGATGATGGAAAGACAAATTTTTGCTTACTTTGTGGTCTTTCGAGACTGCAATCAGACCTCTGCTAGGTGAATTTGTTCATGCAAAAGTGATGTTTGGACTAGGATATTGACTAAAGATCATTGGACTAGGATTTGGTAGCTTAAATACCATTAATACCAAATACATACATACCAAATACATAATTATCTAAATACAGTTGGTCATACATGGGCAGAGCTTATGTGACCACCAGTGATGAGTAAACTGATGATGAGAAGATCAATCTATGCTTGATTTGTAGACTTTAAAGCACACACATTAATTAGAAATCGGTCTGGAAATTGCAGGTGGCAGCTGGGAATATTTGTTTTTGATGGACAATGTCTTTCCTAGGTGAATTATTCAATGAAAAATTGATATTAAAAAGAGAAATTCCACTTTTGTTGAGGGAAAAAAAAAACCATTCCTCTCTGTACATTGCAAGGATTTTAACAAACTTTATTGCAGAATACTGCCTTGTATTATTCTGAAGAAATAGCTGTTTGTTTGGCTGTGTCCATGTGCAGAGTGAATGTGAATGGGGGTAACTTTATAAATATCAATAAGCTGGTGCACTTGCAGTGTTCTAAGGAGGAAAGTGACAGAGTCTGAATACCTTTAGACATGATTTAATTTGGGAGTATCTCACCAAAAATGAAATTTGTGTTGCAGAGGATACCAAAAAATCTGACTCGCATCTTAGGACAGACCAATCACACAAGCAGGAAATTACACTTCTAGGTGGCATTCCCTGCGCCAGCAGTGTACAGATTGTCTCCAGGTTACAATATTGGATTGTAGTTTACAGAAAATTACAGTGCTGCAGACTGAAAAGAAAAGGTAATTTTTAACAACATTCCATTACAATATGACATGTGTAGCAATTGTATATGTTATATTAGTTTTTTTACTTGCTATGTTTTTTTCCTCAAAAGTGAAGCTACCCTTTAAAGTTGAAATCAAGATGTGATCATTATATTGAGATTTGGTAGCCTACTCAGTTACAGCTAACTATAAATGGACAGCGTTTCTGCTACCACCAGTGATTCGTGAATGGAAAGATACATTTTTCCTGGAGGTGGGGGCTTTAAAGCCTCCACCTATTTGCAGCTGAAATTGAGTTGTGATTATTGGATTAGGATTTAGTACCTAACCAGATGTAGCTGGCCATACATAGAGAGAATTTCTGCGAGCACCAATATTGAATGAATTTACAGTTGAAAGACTTACTTGTGCTTAATGTGTGGGCTTTCCAGACTGGAATGCCCACACGTCAAGTAGAAACCATTTGGGGAATTCCAGTCATGAGCTGGGAATATTTAAATGAATTATTCCATGCAAAAGTGATATTTAAAGCTAAAATCTATGTGTGATCCTTGGATCCAGATTTGGCAACCAACTCAGATTTAGCTGGTAATACATGGGTTTCCGTGGACACCAGCAAAGAGTAAATTGATGATCGAAAGAATGATTTTTTTTTTGCTTGATTTTTTTTCTTCCGCCTGTAAAGTGGATCATGGATGCAATGCTTTATCTCCTGTGGACTAATCCTCCAACTGCAAGTCCTTACCTTATGATGCATGGTGGTAGGGTAGATGGAAATTGTAGCCTCTGCAAATGAATTAAACTAGGGGAGACAGGAGTAATTTGGGGGTAGGGGGGCAGCTGACCATTTTTCACGTTACACATGACCTATAGATTTAACCTGAAGCCTGATCATAAAGGTGGACTTAGTTTGAATCATTGTCAATCTACATGCTTTATACCTAAAGATCTGCAGGGAAGCTGATAGTCATTGTAGCAGTCAGAACTTCTACAATGATGGCCACTTTTCTTTTTTTTTATTTTTCCTGTGCCAAGCAACTTCCCCACTGCACACTGATAACAGGAGGTCACTGGCTTTGCACTGCCGCCAATCACAGAATGCCTTACAAAGCTTTGTAGAGAAGGGTCAGTGAATGATTAGTATTCATTGAAAACAATACCAGGCATTCTCTGAATGAAAGCAGTGCCAAGCGAGTGCTCATTGTGGTCAGTGTATAACAGGCAGGGGCGGACTAACCATTTGGAAACTTGGGCAGTGCCCGAGGGCCCAGGGTAAGTAGGGCCCAGGGTAAGTAGGGGGCCCCATGAGATGCCCCTGGTACTTTTTTCATAGGCTTTTTTGAGTTTGGGCAAGGACACAGGGGCCCCATGATCCCCTATTGCCCAGGGGCCCATGAGTTGTCAGTCCGCCCCTGATCACAGGTACAATAATTAGGCTCCTACAGACTATTTATCCAGCTGCACCTCCAATCCAAGGTACGGAGGAAGCATCAATGAACTACAAGTGCGCTGACAACACTGCAAAGTCCACATTAGGCGACTTATTGGCCATATTAGGTCAATGATGTCCCAAGCACGAATCTGTCAAATGTAGATATCTAAACCCAAGAACACAAATTTAATATTTTAAAGCTCACCAGCGCTTAAAAATGTTGGTTTATATTTCTTTATTTTCTGGCCAAGTACATTTTCTGCAAGTGCAGAAAACAACCTATGATCCTGCCAGAAATCTAGCTGAATATTCCTGAATTGAAATCTCAAAAAATTGTAGCACTACTCCCTTAGGAGTCACTAGAGATGTGGGTCCCTCTATAGTCCTGCACAGCCAGGCAGCACGCATTTCCTTTCAGACTTGCACTCCAGAGACAGTAAACAGTCCTTGAACTTGTTTTTTGGGATTTTATTAGGGGATGATGGCTTGGATGGGGATGTAGGATACATGGGATGCCCAAAGAACTGTAAAACTGAGGACAACTTCCTGGAACTATGTACAAGTAGTCAGAATGGGTTTTGCCTTCTTTTATTGGAGAGCTAGCCAGCCTCTCCTTGTGTATCTCCTCAGACCCCAGATAAAATCTCCTCTTCACCCAGCTCCTAATCTCCCTGGCCAAGAGGTACCAGAAGCTGCAGTTTTAAGATCAGCAGTCCTATATGAGGGCTAGTCAGGTTTCCCTCTAGGATGTCCTCCTCCCTTTATCTGGCCCAGGGGGTATGGGATTACTCACTCAAGCCTCTAGTGCAAGCTTGTGGGTTGGTTGCTGCCTTCAGACCTTATGCTGGGTTGCCTCCATCCCTGCTTTCCAGGCTGTCCACCCTCCAGTGATGGTTGAGGCTAAGAGATCCTTCCTTCCAGCTCCTCTGCCTGTAGGTAGGCCCCTCTCCTGGACCCCCTCCCAGATGCAACATTCCATCCTGCTCACTCCATCTTCCAATTGAAAGATGGAGCAGGCTTGGTCACTCTTAAGGGCTGTCCTGACTTCATGCCAAGCCTCCTGCTTGGGGATTGGTAAGGATCCCTTAAGAATGCAGACCATCTCCTCCTCACCCCGCCCACTGAGTTCTAGAAACTTCTACAAGTCCCTAGATCAGAGAGAGGTGCCCTGACCCAAATTTGACCTCTCTTAATATCTCCCTGGCTGCTACTCAGCCTTCTAACTAAAAAATAATTAGCTAGCTCCTCCTGGCTAAGAGAGTGCTACACAATGTTATCTGCTTCCCAGTTATCTTCTGTTATGGAGCTGTGTTTGTAACCTAAACCATAAGAGCCACCCAGACACTGTTGTCAGCATCCTGTAGCATTTTTTTCTGATAAAATATGGAAATTTTACTGACAGAGCACAATTTGACTGCTGTACACTTACAAAAGTCAACACAGCATGACAAATTATCAGCCCCTTTTATTTACAGACAGTTGTAAAAAAGGGGGTGTCCCTTTATTTACAGAGTTGTAAAAGGGGTGTCCATTTTTTGTGTGTTGCAGGAACATGAGATTTTGCATACATTACTTCACAAAAATGTAAACCTAGACTAAGTGTTGTAATCCTAGCACTGGAAGTGATTGTAAACCCCCAGTTAAGTGGCTGACCTCAGATGATACACAGAGATTGAACAAATCCACCTGCATAAATTGTACCTGTTTATCTGTAGTTCTCTCTTATCTACAGCCATTCAAAGTCCTGAATTTACACAGCATTTGTGAGCTTTAGAAAACAGGGTTGAGGAACGGATGTCACACACTAGACAGTGCAGGAAGGAGAGCTTAATGTAATATGAGACCTGAGTGGAAGGGAATAACATAGACCCCTCTAGACAGTCTCATAGCGAAACATGCACAGTTGAGTTTGTCAGTCCCACTCTGTGCACTGGAGGGGGAGCATGGCTGTCTCCCAACATTGTCTGGTGCAGTCTATCTGAGCCACCTGCATCCTAGCAACAGAAGGACACTTAGTGAAGCTGCCTTAATTCTAGCGATGGAAGCACACTATGAGGATTCAGTAAGAAGTCACCTGTGTCCTAGCAACAAGACCATGTACACTGTATGTATGTACAGTAAATGTTTCTGAAACATTACATGCATATAGAGCACTTGCTGTCAACGTCTGCCAGCAAGATCCTGCATACTAGTTGGATTTTTATACAGACATGTGCATGAGCCCTAAATCACTAACTACAGACCAATAATAAACTAAATTTCAGTTAATTAATACAGGTACTTATATTGCAACATCAATATACGCAGTGCTTTACATATACACTATATTGCCAAAAGTATTAGGATGCCTGCCTTTCCACGCACATGAACTTTAATGGCATCCCAGTCTTATTCCGTACGGTTCAATATTGAGTTGGCCCACCCTTTGTAGCTGTAACAACTTTCTGGGAAGGCCGTCCACAAGGTTTAGGAGTGTGTCTATGGGAATGTTTGACCATTCTTCCAGAAGCGTATTTGTGAGGTCAAGCACTGATGTCAGACGAGAAGGCCTGGCTCTCAGTCTCCACTCTAAGTCATCCCAAAAAGTGTTCTATCGGGTTGAGGTCAGGACAGTAAAGTTCCTCCACCCCGAACTCGCTCACCCACGTCTTTATGGACCTTGCTTTGCGCACTGGTGCGCAGTCATGTTGGAAAAGGAAGGGGTCATCCCCAAACTGTTCCCACAAAGTTCAATATTTTATCTAGGTCAGTGCAAGGGTTAGTGTTAGGGTCAAGTAAGGGTCATAGGTCAAGATTAGGGTCAAAGGTCAGGAACCATATTTTTTTGGGGGGGTAGGTTTTTTTTTTTTTGTTTGTTTGTTTCAAAATTTGTATCAGTGTCAGTTGGTGTCAATGTCAGTGTGTTTTATGTAGGATAAAAAAATCAAAATGTGCACTATTGTTTCTGGGCTGTATTATGGGTACATACAACAACTAACAAACACATATGGTGGTATCGCTGCGATCGTCAGGAACAGGAGAATTTATTTTGCGTTGTTATTTGGTGGTAGGTTGTGGTAGTAGTAGCAAGAAATATACAGCTACATTTAAAAATTTTTTATTTTTTACTATTTTGAGCCAGCTTTCCTTCGATTAAAAAATAAAATCAGGAGATAGCCATTACCATTTATCACCAAATGAAAGTCCAATTTGTGCTGGAAAAAAAAAAAAGGTATAATCCACATGAATGCACAAAGTAGTTGTGGTGATAGGTACAGTATGGTTTTAATAACACATGTCAAAGTTGCAAAATTGTGCTTTTGGCATTAACATTTGTTTTACCGTGAGGCGCAAAAAGGTTAAGGTCTTCCTTCAGGTGATCTTTTCCCCAATACTGATTTACCATGGTTTGTTCTGCACTCTCTGCGGTCTCTCTATGGGGAAGCAACTATTTTGGTAGATGCAGGGGTTTGCTTCCTCATGTCAGAGCTACCCCTGATGACTGTGATATGATAAATGGTAAAGTAATAGTCAAGAAGCAGCAGAAGTGGAAGAAGCAAAGATCTAAAGAATGAATGAATCAGAAGAATGGAGATCCTTGCACCACAGTTCCTCTGGTACAGCTTAGAGAACACTAAGAAGCATAGTAGTTTAAATCTTTTTCAGAATCCCATGAAACCAAGAGTAAGAGGCAGCAGTGCCTTTAGATGATCTAAAACTGCATATATAAAGATACCATACTCAAGCCACTAGGATATGAGCCTTCCAGTATTTCAATATCTGTTTTGCATTCCCATACTTTTATTATGTTTATGCACTTAAATTTTTTACTGTCAGTACATACAGTAGGTTTTGGAACAATTTTCCAGACCCTGGTTTGACAGCCACTGCCCTATAGAATATCAAATCTTCACATTTTGATATCAGATCTACTTTAATACTGATACTTTGATAGCAAAAATAGAATAGGAAACATTTATAGGTAGATTGTTTTACCTTAAATTGGGAGTTTCATATTCTAAAGCAGTGGTTCTCAACCTTCCTAATGCTGCGACCCTTGAATACAGTTCCTCATGTTGTGGTGACCCCCCCAACCATAAAATTATTTACCCAGTAATTATAATTCATGAACTGTCGTTTTACCTCCAATACTGCTGCTTTCAACACAGCAGCTGCTTTCTACACAGTAGCTGCTCTTTACCCATCGGAAATATGTGTTTTCCGAAGGTCTTAGGTGACCCCTGTGAAAGGGTCGTTCGATCCCCCCCAAAGGGGTCGCGACCCACAGGTTGAGAACCACTGTTCTAAAGGATTTTTAATACTTTTCAGCCATTCACAACCCAGCAGCTGACAATGCTAAATTGTTGGTTCAGATTTAGACTTTGATCACATGTGAAAGAAATAATATAAATTTGTGATGCATGGGCATGGGGTGGGGAGCCACATCCTAATTATAATCCAGAACCTCATATATTAAAGGATAAGTTCACCTTTGGAACATGTTTTTAGGGTGGAACATGCAACATGTTCCCACAGCTGCAGCCACGCTCCCCTTCTCTCTGACAGATAGTACGGGGAGAAGTTTCTCCATACTATCTGCCAAATTTGAAAACAGCGCGGCCATGAGGCTTATAGTTTTCAATGAACTGTGGAGCACTGTGGTAGTTCATTGAAGCTTCTTGTCAGTATATTTGCTTGACCGTACATCCCGTACATCCTGTACGGCAAACAGATATTCTAACAGGTCTGCAGGAGACCTGCATGGCACCAGCAATCTACTGATCGCTGATGCAATGCCTTCCAGGCTCCTTTGGACAAAAATAATAAATGCCTATTTTTATACCTGCAAAAAATGTACATTTATTATTTTTGTCCAAAAGGTGAACTTATCCTTTAAAACCAAATGAACTTTTAAGGTTCCCCAGAAAAAGGCACAAGATACAGAATTCATAAAATAGGGAGGGGGATACACACCCTGCACAATTGTATTCATACAAAATTGTTAAAATTGTAAAATTGAACACCTAAAAATCTAAACAAATGGAAAATATGAATAGTAACTTCCCCTG